GTAGTGCAAGTCCTCCTACTTTATTCTTCTTCTTCAGTAATGCTTTACTTATCCGGGACTTCTTCCCTTTCCATACATGGTCAAATTTTGATTATCTGTGTTAATGGCATGTAACATTTAGGGAGAGGTGAAAATAATTAATGATCTATTCTTCTACTTTAGGGATCATGCTCATGCTTCCTAAATCAGATCTAGGCCAAAGAGTATAGTCTAGTTAGATTCATGTATATACTCAATATTTTTTGACTATCTACTCTGTGGTGAGAAATTCTGCTTATGACTTAGTTTCCTAGTGAAATTCTTGCATTATCACTTTAGGGAAATGGACTATATCTCCAGTAGAGAACCATGGCTTGATTGACTGTTGTGATGGTAATATGAATCTTGTTTACAGGGTACTTTGGTGAGGGAAGTAGGCATACTCTAAAATGATATAATGAAGATTAGTTATTTTACACTCAGATTTTAGGCTCTGACCCATCCCATGTGTTGAACTCAATACAAAACAGTCTAATTTAAAGATCCTCCCTAGTATCTCACATCCCCTTACCCCATACTACTATCCACTGCCAACATGAAATAAAATCATAATTTTGACCTAGAGAGACAAAAAATATATATTTTTCTAATTCCTTTTGTTAGAGATTAGAAAAAAAAGAAGAAAATTTAATAAACTTTCCAAGTCAAAACTAGAGGATAGGACTATTATATAAGAATCTTACGTTTCTTTTTTTTTTTAAGTTTGAGTGTTTTATACTTATTTTATACTCACTGTTTTTCTTTAGGTGATTTGGTGACTCTCAATAGAAAATGGGCCTTATTTAAGGACAGAAACTCAAAAATCACTTCTGTAGTTTTTTAGAACTATACAATCCTATAGAAATACTTCACTATTTAAGTTTTACTCTGCCAAAAAATTATGTTTTGTTTATAGTTCATTCTTACTATAACATGAAAATCTTAATACACAAATGTTATATCATTAGGAGACAATCTTTTCCTAAAATGTATTGAAGTAGACTAATATTAAAATATTAATGAATGACACTTAAAACATTAGCCTTTATTCTGCCTATGCAAAATTTCCCTGATGTACAAAAAACCTTGGTGACTTTTAAAATAGAAAGGTCGAAATATTCTTCAGAAGAATTTGAGCCTGTTGTTTTTTACGTGTAAGTAATTTTTCAAACTCTAGCGTAAAAAATTTTTCACTTTAATTATTATAACTTTAAGGATGCTAATTGGGTGTATTCCATAGTAGCAGTTTCAAGTGTTAAAACCATCTTGAAACAACAGAGCTAATCAATAAAATAGAGACCTCCTGGCAGAGCACAGAGCACAAATCTAACTATAAAAGTACTGCTTGCCAGAAACTACTCTTGACTGTAAGCCATAGGCTGTCATACTCTGTCAAATCAAATATATATAGTAAAGCTGACCAACACAGAGACTACTAGAATATGGCAATAATTAGAACTACCATTCTCTAGTTCAGCAGAGTCACATCCCTATATAGAATTAAGCTTTAAAGTCAATAAAGCAAAAACCACGTAACATCAAAATTATCCCATTAAGCTAGACTACAGGAAGGAACAAAAGGAAAATCTTTGTGCATCTGGGCATTCAAACTGTTATTCTTCTACAATAAGTACCAAATTTCTAGGGATAAAGGGTAGAAGTGGAAAATTCTAAAGTGTTTCTGTTTTCCTATAGTGTTTTTCTATTTTTTTTTGCACTAATATTAAATGTTTAATCAATTTGTTCTTATGAGTATTAATTGAGATGCTGGAAACCGGGGAAATTATAATTTGAAGTTCATCTTTAAGTTAAATGTACATTTTAACTCCAGTGTACACTATTAATAAAAACATATATAAAAAGCCGAAAATTCCTAACGGCACTGAATATTAAGGATAACATTTAACCACTTACCAGGCTATGAGGAATTTTTGTTTTAATTAAAGCATTGATTGGATTTGAATGAAAAACACAACTATTGGTCTATGTACACACCTCACCCTTTGAAAAGATAGTATGATTCAGAAATAAACTGGGAAGAGATTTAGCTTACTGCCACTGTCTACTTCTAGCTCAGAGACCCAGAATATGCAGTCTCCTAAAAGTTGGCAACTATCTTTAATATAGGAGCCCTGGTGAAGCAGTGGTTAAGCATTCGGCTAACCGAAAGGTCAGCGGTTCAAACCCACCAATCACTCCATGAGAGAAAGATGTGGCAGTCTGCTTACAGCCTTGGAAACCCTATGGGGGCAGTTCTACTCTGTCCTATAGGGTCGCTATGAGTCAGGATCAACTCAACAGCAACTAGGTTTGGATCCTTAATATGCAAAAATAAGGACGGTCTGGACAGAGCTGGAGAAAAATGTAGAACAAAATTCTTACAAAAAAGGACCAGATTTACTGGCCTGATGGAGACTGAAAAAACCCCGAGAGTATGGCCCCCGGATACCCTTTTAGCTCAGTAATGAAGTCACTCCCAAGGTTCACCGTTCAGCCAAAGATTAGACAGCCCCATAAAACAAAACGAGACTAATGGGGTGCAACAGTCCAGGGACAAGGACTAGAAGGCAGGAGGGGACAGGAAAGCTGGTAATAGGGAACCCACGGTTGAGAACGGACAGTGTAGACATGTCGTGGGTTTGTTAACCATTGTCATAAAACAATATGTGTACTAACTGTGTAATGAGAAACTATTTGTTCTGTAACCTTCATCTAAAGTACAATAAAATAAATAAATAAAAAGGAAAAAAATATGCAAAAATATTCCACTACTTCTCTCTCTTGCTAACCATTTCCTCATTTAGTTATCATTAATATTTCTTATAAATTAATTTACAGACTGAAATCCCCTTGTACTCAGAGGAGGACAAGTGTAAAACACTGTATTCTAGAGGACAAAGAGAAAAAAGCCTTTGCTTTGCAGCACCAAGCATACCTAGAAGGTATAAATCTTCATGCGCTGCAAATAGTCAAATTATAAACTGCCTTCTTAAACCATGGCATGAGCTAGGGCCTGGTTAGCCCACTATCCACCCCTTTAGACATTACCAACCATCATAATTGAAACCCTCAGGAGAAAATTATCTCAAGGGAAAAATCACAAAACATCTGAGGACTACAGTGCAATAAGACACACACACACATACACACGCACATACGCATAAGAACAGCCAATAATAGCTATTTCTTACACATGTAGCTTAAAGAATCAAAATTTTTAAATAAATATTAAAACCGTCAACATCATGCATCTTTGGGGAAGACTTCACAGTCATGCTTAAATGTTTTTTTTTTTTTTTCCTTGATCTTATCTATTTTTTCAAATAAAGTTTACAAATAACTTTTACCTCAAACTCTACCGTGTAATTATGTGGAAGTAATTACACATCTCAGTGGTCCGGTTTGAGAGAATGTCTTCAAGATCTTCAAGATCTTGCTTCAAGATCTGAAGCAGTAATTTTCTGTTTACTTTTTCATTACTCACATGCAAGATGGGATTCTATCAATCCCTTTCTATTGTGTGATTATTTGAGTTAGTTTTTCCATAACAACTAAATTTGATAAACTAAATTAGGTAGACTATATTGAAAACTCTTATACATTTTCTTGGCCATTCTTCAGGACTTTAGGGTTTAGGTATTCTTTTCATGAAATAGTATTGCTTAAGAGTGTTATATTTACTGCTTATATTTAACATTTCAGATGAGCCTATTAATAATACCTTAAAGTACAAAACACCTTATCTTCCTTCATTCTTTCTGTAATGAAATGTTTCCAACACAAAGTGTATTAGCTTTTCATTGCAAGATGAAAATAGCCTGCTACTTCATCTTTTAAAACCTTAAGAAAGAGTTCTTTATGTCATCCTGGAAATTTTAACCAGGGTTCATTAAAAGCCTCCTCAACTTTATAAATTGGCCAAATAATTTTTTTACTGGAAATATAATTGCTAAGATTTATTTTCTGTTCCATACTGTCAATTTTGTCTTTTTTTTTTTTTTAACTTGTTTTAGGTGAAAGTTTACAGAGCAAATTAATTTCTTATTAAACAATTAATACACATATGGTTTTGTGACATTGGTTGCCAACCCCACAAGATGTCAACACTCT